ACAATATTTAATGAATAATTTAAAATTTATCTCTAAATTAAAAACCTTATAAACTGAAATATAACATAGAATATATGCTTTGTTATGCAATGTATATTGAATCAGAATTTAAATAGGCTGTTGCTAAATATTATTAAAAGAATATGTAACTTTTGTACCTATTAAAGTCTTTATTTACTATATTAGATAAATGGGCAGTAGTTACAGCCAAACATGAATAATTTGAAAATCTGAAGTTAGAAATATATTTAATCAATAGTTTACTGTTGTATTGAGAAGCCATAACTTAAATGTTATTTTTTGTAATCATGTTTTTATTTTTATGAACACAGGAGGAAAGTTAATTCTGACAAGTTTTATTGCTCTCAAAGCATTAGAATCATCAAGGATAAGCAAGCCAACATCAACATGCAAATTCTAATTTTAAAGGGTCCTATGGCGGCTCAATGCAGGAAATTTCCATAGAAATCTTAAAGAAAAATATCTTCTTCATACAAAAGTCAAATGATTTTATCAAAAATTAATACTGATATAGTTTGAATCACTTATTAGTAGTAGGAACAGGGATATTTGGTTCTAGGTCTTCCATAGATCTTTTTACCTCTTCAATGTGCTTACAAGTGCAGAGAAATGCATGTGATCATACAATATAATCAATTCACATTGTTTAACTGCTCAGTCCCAAAAAGTGTCCAGTACTTTTGTTGTATTAGGAGTGGAACACACACTCTAATATTTTGCTATAACACAATTGAAAGTTTCTGAGATTTCTACACACCCTGTGTTATATAACAGGCCCATGATGTTTTGGAAACTCAAGAGGGCCAATTGTCAGTTTTTTTCATTTCAACTCTATTTTCATTTGTTACTGATTAGCATTTACGATGGTGAATTACATTCCAGATGAGGAAAAGTTAGGAAAAATTAAAAATACATTTGTCAAAACTCAGTTTGAAAGAAATAATGAGTTCAGAGAGCAAATGGGTAAACCGAATGCATTCATGAAAACAGTAAATGCTAAGCAATTAGTTCTTCCCCCTCTGGGGCAACATCCATAGCTTCCAGCTTTGTGGTAACACTTCACCTGTTTATTCTTCCTGCATTATATTTTTCTCACATGCAAAACGGCAATCATAATAACACCTACTTCATAAGATAGTTGTGAGAATGTAATAAATAAATACTCCTTAGCACTTAAGATAGTGTCTGGTACATAGAAGTTATTCAATACATGTTAGCCACTACTACTGCTCTTGTTGTTGTTGTTATGTAAGATTTGGTTAATTGCTTATTACCATGGGGTGGTGAAAAGATAAAGTTGGATTGTCTTAATTTTCTGGGCAGCAGACTTTCTGACTTTGCAAAAATTAGTCAGTTGCTAAGTCAAATGAGCCACAAATTTGCCATCGTAAAATAGACCAATAGCTTAATAATACTGCCCTGTGGGCTTTAGAGATCAAGTATGTAATTCATTCAGCATTGGCCACAATGTGCCTGCCCATTAAATGAACACCTGATAATCAGAAGCTATGTACTATTAGTGTATTATTTCTAAGTACTCTCATATTTATTGACCATGGCAAGCACCTCAGCAAAGTAGGAGAATTTGACATATAAATAATGAAAATTATTTTGCAAAAGCATACATTTCAATTGACCTTTTAAAATCATATTTATAATTATGAATTATACATTCATAATTACAATTACTATAGAATTATCTATCTAGAAAAAAGCTCTCAAATGTATAAACTTTGTAGCAATGAAGATTTTACCAGTATGTTACATTCTCAAGTACTAAAAATATGTGTTCAACTTTAATTTTGAAGAACATCTATGGATAAACTATGCTAGGTTAAAAAGTCAAACCCACAGTTATTCCATTTTTAAATATATATGTGAGTATGTGGGTAAGAGTGTGTGTGTGTGTGTGTGTGTGTGTGTGTGTGTGTGTGTACAGCTGTAACCTCTGTGTGAGATAAACAGGACATTCAAAGATGGGGTGTGTGTGTTCCCAGAGCACTTTAACTTACAAGTGAGAAACAGTCCAGGATTGGAAAAAATAGGGTATCCTCAAAAAACATTTACACACTTACCCTGTATTAGGGGAGGATTAACTTGAATTCACCGTAACCCACATTCTGTCTCCAGAAGAAAATGCTACTGTTACACCTCAGGCCACAATTTCACGTTTACACATAACCATTAGAGAACCCCTGGTTGGTTGCACATTTAAAATGCATTCAACAAATGCATATTTGTTTTACTTAACTTCTGTAAAGCAGCAAGAAAAGCACAGTTCATCAAAACGCATGTTCTGAAGAGTGATTTGGAACGTGCTTTGATGGGAACGTTGGGTTGGAAAAGTAAACTTATTCAATACAAGGTCATGGATAATGTCAAATGTCCATGGCAGATTATCTGAAACAAAATATATTAAAAATTCTTATAATTCAGTAATCAAATTCAATAATAAAATGCCCAGTTTTTTTAAAAAAATATATAAAGGATTCAGGTAGATATTTATCCAAAAAAGCTACACAAATGGCCAAAAAAACACATAAAAAGATGCTCAGTGCCACTAGTCATCAGGGAAACGCAGAACAAAACCACAATGAGCTATTTTGCACTCACTAGAATGGATGTAATCAACAACACAATAAATGTAGGCAAA